AACAGGCACAAGGCAGGATCCACCTGGGGCGGGACACTAGTCCATCACAGGGCAGACAAAGACACACACACACTCAATTTTCTCAGAAGCCAATAAACCTACAAGTATGTTTTTGGATTGTAGGAGGAAAGCGGAGCACCCAGACAAATTCCACTGAATACAGGAAAAACATAAAACTCCATGCAGATAGCACCCCAAGGCCCCAGTGCTGTGAGGCAGCAATTGGCAACTGATGTGCCAATCATAACTCCCAATATTCCATCCATAATCAGAAAGCTCATTATTCCTGATAAAGGCAAGAGATGTGCAGACCCTGAAGGAAGGAAACTGCACCCAAGACGCATGCTGTACCAACCATCATTGTGCCGAAGCCCTCCAATACAGTGAGACCCATTTCCATGTTAATAAAATAAAACATCCCTTTAATACCACAGAGCACGGCCACACTGATATAAATACTTAAAATTCAACCCAAAGCTCTTTGCTGCATTTTACCTGAGGGGGCAGGCAATTATGCCAGCTAGATTATGGAAACAACCTGAAAGGACAGATTAAAATTTCCATCTTGTACCTTAAATGGGCGGTAAATGGTCAGTGTTAATAGTATGCATATTCATAACATTATACACTCCCCAGTAGAGCACCTCGCAGTCTTAGTGAACCTTTTTCTCTCCATTTGCGACGAGTTTGTCCGTTTGTGTCTACGTGGGATTCGTGTAGCAGTCGAGGAGGAGAGAAAAATAACCTCAGCAAAGATGTTTCGTATGATCTGATAGCTAAATTTCCTCCAGTAAATTTGATTTCAGTTTCACTTTCTGACATTAAGAACATCAACAGATCGAAGATATTCGGAAAATCGGAGAACAGTGACTGTATTTGGCGTCAAGAAATAATCTACCTTCTAACCACGAGAGGGAGCGCTAGACCTTCCGACGGTTTCCGGCCGCGGACCGACCGAAAACAAAAAATATCCTGAATTTGGGTGCTGTGGTACAGTTACTGTACGTGAACGCCGCTAAATAATTAGGCTAGCCTTTTTAGTTTAGGGCTTTCTTTTAGAGGCCGCTTTGAAGTTCGTGACTGCAATGTGAATACATTAGCTTCTCTTCAACAGTAACTCAACAGAACATGTTGTTGGAATGGAGCGGAAGTTAAACTTGGTCCTTAGTTTTAATTCAGCAGACGATTTTCTTTAATCAGATAATAATTATTCATCTGTTTGTAAAACATGAAACTACCAATATATCTTAACTACTGTACGTTGTTGCAATTTGTTGTAGTTTTATTTGACCTCCTTAATTTTATTTCCTCTATGTGCTTGAAATCTGGCATTTTCCAATGGCAACTAGCTCATCCCATGTGAGGAATGTTTTTTTTTCCACAGCAATGGGATTCATTTAATTTTTTATTTTAACTTAATAGCAGAACGTCCTAAAGGTGGTTTATTATTAGCACATAACACCTACTGAATGCAATCAAGTACTGAAAAGGAAAAGACTTAAATCTACGTGTCCCTGGGGACCAATGGAGGCAGAGTTGTTCACTGCTGAACAGACTGAAATAGCCCTTATACAGTACTTCTGTAACATGAGAGTGTTGTTTTATAAGTTGACGGAGATTTAAGTGCAGCTGCAGAGAGAAAACATTCGATGTTGGTTCTGTGGGGAGGATGGGCAACGCCGGGCTGGTTGAAAATGAGGCAGAGCAAGCAGTCCGCTGCCCTGTTATCAGACAGAGGCCATATGTATTCAGAGCTCCAAAACCATCCAAACCTCATCGGGCATGGCGCAGTCTTCTTAACGGTACGGGGGCTGCATGGGTTGTGTTGATCACGTCGAGCGCAGGATGCTCCCAAGAGAAGAAGAAATCTCAAGAGAGGGGGAAAAACTACGGCTGGGACATGCAAAGTCAGCCTCCCTCAGGTCCTGGACACGCACTGATCTGGCTCATGCCAGGAAGGTCAGGCTGCTCTTCTCTCCCTGCTTCCCTGCTTCCCAGTGCTGTCCAATGTTCTGAAGCCGCCTGTCACATTGATTCAGTTCCCTTCTTGCACTGCGCACGAGGAGTGGTGAGGGGGGATTTTGCCAGTAAGTAAGCAATTGTCTTTTTTCCTGCTAGCTGCCGGAAACACGAGCTGGGGGGGGATTGTAAGGTTCTCAAAAGATTAACTGCCTTCCCTGCTGAGACTGCCTTTTTTTTTTTTTGCTCCTTTTCGTACGAGAGAAAATAAACATTGCGTGGCACTTCAGCTACAGCTGTTTTCAGGTTTCATTGCTGGCAGGGCCAGGGTCGTACACCTCTGTTATCGATCGCGTTTCTCTTCTCCCCCAAACGGTTAGTCACTTAGCAGCATTATGAATGGGACCGGATTTGTTTTTGCATTGATCTGCCAACCAATCCAACAGCCAATCAATCCAGAGAGACGTTGCCTGGAAATGGCAGGAATGATTAAGATCAGGTTAGGCATGCTGCTCTTTGTCAGATCGCGGAAAGGACTGGGAAAACCTTAAGAAAAATAAATGGCGACAAAAATTGCTGGCGTATTGCTGTTCTGGCCTATCTAGGGGTGTTTGTGATTGGATTGCTATAAATCCATCCAAGCCACTATCCTCTGTCCCTTATTGACTCCTGTGAGTCAGTGACATTTTAAAAATCCTGCATGGTAGGCCTTTCTGATCTAGAAAGCAAGGATTTTAAAGCCTGGAGGGGTCTGTGGAAGAAGAATCAGATTTGTATTCGAATTTTCAGATTCAAAGAGCTTTATTGGCATAACAGATTGATTACAATGTTAGGAAAGCAGCTATTATACCATCGTTTACAGTCATTGACAATACAAACATATCATTGCACATTTACTTACATCCCCTAAACATTATTGTGAGACTGGATCACCCTCTGCCCCTCCGGCTGGGGCAGGAGATCGCGAACTGGCCCGTTAGCTCTGTTGGATTTCCTGCCCTTTGCCCCCAGAAGATCGGAAGCTGATCGGATTCAGGCAGGTGTGGGAATTCTGGGATCATCGCATAATAGTGTGAGACAAGAAGAGCGCTTTTAAATGAGAGAATTGATCGGGGCCCCATATCAGTGTATTGATTATTTACTGGTGTTCAGGGGTGGGAGGGCTTGAATTTGACAGGCTGTTATTCGTGGACGCAGGGCTGTTATCTGTTCTGGCCAGTGTGCTTGCCGGAAAGGGAGGGCTGCCCCTTTACATCGATTGCATAGGGAAAGCTGTTATGTTGTGTGAAATTGTGCAATGTAAGCAGACAACAGCACTCTTTAGCACTTCCTCCTGGCTTTTTTATTCCGATCTGCAGTGACCTGGACCTAAGCCATGCTTCCACACATTACCTGATGGCCACTTCATCATGTAAGACATGGTCATGACAATGTAATGCTATAATGACAGGTAAGCCTGGTCAGATCAGATTCACAGTGTGAGGTCATGGGCATACACATTGCTACTTTTCATACTTTTGTAGGGGGGTCAAACATTTCCCTTTGTTTCTGGCAATTTGTGTGAATCGGAATGACCACAATCATTAAATGTTGCTCAAACATTTTAAAAGCAGAGAAACATTTATTCAGACCTGTGTACAAGGAAATTCTTTACCGATCACCAACGATGGGCTTATATTTTTCTTATTGTTTAAGTAAAGAGAAACTCCCATTTGTCCTTTGTTAGCTTTTAGTGAAAGCTTGGTCAGCAAAAAATATACATGTGGGTTGTGACTGTTAGTACAAGGAAGGATCTACAGTTAAAGTACCTGTGACTGAAGAGTGCCCAGTTTCTTTCAACAGGCTGTTAAAGTCCTTTAGAGGTAGCTCTGATAAGACACCTAGGGAGACGTTCTCCTGAGCTGTAATATCTGAATCCTCGTTCATTGAAAGTGTAGGTCTTTTCTGAGCACGCGCTGCATTGTTTCCAAGCATCTCTATGTGACAAAGGTCAGGCAAAGGTCACTTCCTCTTTCTATAGGCAAAGAAGGACCATGAGTTGTCATGGAAACTGTTCTAAGCCTGCCATTTGTACAAAAGTGTATTAGTCCTATTTATCTCCCACAGGCAGAAAGAAGCCAGAAAGAATCTGTATGTTATATTAAATTTAAAATATTTTAACCCTTTAAAAATATAAGTAAAACAAACAAATGTAGAAAGAATTTCAGTGGTAGCATAATGCACATTTTAGTATCAAACTTAAATCTAAGTTTTGTTAGTGGATTTAAATGCTTTTAACACATGACTTAAAAAAAAAACCCTTCGACAATGTGAACGCTTGGTCCATTGACAAAATAATGCAGGTTAACAGATTGTCTCATCTGGTTCTGGATGTCTGTCGGAATTGTCTTTGTGACTTTGTGACAAGCAATAGCTTGATTGAATGCTTAATAAAGATGCCTAGACAGTATCCCTGTATGCAATGTACGCCAAAAAATATATAATTATATATATTATTATATATAATATAATTAAGCCTCTTCCATTTCTTTCCCCCCTCCAACTTGAAAAAAAAAAACTAATTTTCGGTCAGCGTCGGTGATTGAAAAGAAAGAACCTTTTTTGCAAGGCGAGGAAGCCCAGTGTTTTCCCTACAGTAATATATTTGAAACAGCGTAATATTCTTTAATAAGAAAAACAGATTTGGGCAGACGGCTACCATCGGGCATGTATCCCCCGCGACATCGCGGGCTCTTTGGTTCACGACCAGCAGCTGTGACACAGGTACAGCGGGGCTGACAGAAACGCCACTGCTAGCTCACCAGTGGTTTCGGATTTGCGGAAAGCTTACAACTTTCCTGGTGAAAATGTGACTCACGCCTGACTAACACAGCCCTGCGGGTTTCCCTAACAATCGTCTCCTTATGCCTCAACAGGTGAGTTGCAGCTCAGCCGACGACCGCAAGCCCTCTCCGAGGTGACGCATCGCCAGCATCTTAAATTTTCCTCCAAAGCAGATGCGGCTTAATTGTCCTTGATTGTCTGAGGGGCTGGCGGTTCTACCTTTGGCACAATGGGGGGTGAAGACGCCATCTGCAAACTCACACTTTGAGGTTTTACATTAATTAGTCATTAAAAGCGGAGGCGTACAGCGGCAGCACGGGGTTAACGAATATCTCGGTGTATTATTGTAACATCAAATTTAAATCTGCCTGTCGTCTAGCTCGCCTTCTGCAGGTATAAAAGACGGCAGCAAGAGACACGAGATCAAGAGAGGGAAGAAGACGGTTCTTCGGACTGGGGGGGAGCGACCGAATTACTTACTGGATTAACTCTGTAATATTGGACAAGCAATTGCGTTTCCCTTTATATTGGTTTTACATATATTGAAAAACATTCTATTTTCTGTTTTCCCCGCAATGAAAACATCTGAAACTGTAGATTGCGTTTGTCACTGTGGAATAACCTGATCTTTGCGGTCCAGTCCCTTAAGAATCTTCATTTTGAGGCTCTGGTCTAGGTCTCCCGATATATTTTATCTTGCAGCTATGGGCCTGTGCTTTGGTGAGTACGTGCATCGCATATCTGTCTAATCAATCATCTATCTAGCTTAACTGGACTGCCAAGTTAGCTACAGGATGGATGCTAACTACGACAACAGAGAGTGGTTTTCTCATTACTCCTCTCGGCTAGCTGTCTAAAAGAAGCGCACAGGCACACAAAGGTGGATCGTTTAATCTATGTTGGCGTTTTTTTTTTTTGGTTACAGGTTCGCATTCTCGGGGTTTAATGACTCCTGCCCAGGTGTGGCGCTACTACACCGGCTCAGGTCAGTTTCTTAAAGCCGCGTTTCTTTTATCGTGCGAAACACGCACGCGATCAGCGAGGATCTCGAGCGGCGCGTCACCACGACAGCACGCTCGCGTGCGCTGGGAGTCAAAATGCCTTCGCGTGCCACGGCTAGGAGCACCAACATGCGGACGTGTGTTTCTAGGGATACGAGAATTATTCACATGCCCTCTCAACAATCATGAAAAAAAAAACATCTTTCCCAACTTTGATCCACCTTGCATAGCATACTGTACTTAGGCAATTTAACTTTTTTTACACAAAACAGCCCTAAGTAAAATATTTATTCGATTGCGAAAACCAAAAGACCAAAAGCAATTCTGAGTGAAGAGGTAGACGTTTTGATCAGCTTTCGAAGTCATACAAATTAGGACGATTTGGCCTTCTGGGAACGAAAGCGTAATTTTAAGTGTTTCATTTAGAAAGCTTCCTATTAAAGTATTGTCTGCAAGGCTGAATCACGAAGAGGAGAACAATTGATAGCGCCGCTCGTTTTCCTTCGCGCAACAGATATGGATTATGGCACACAAGAGAGTTTGAAGAAAAGTTAGAAATATGTGTAAATATCGAAAACGTAATTCCGTGCCGCTCAAATTGCTGGAGACGTATGTGTGATGATTCTGTTGGCTTGAGATGAGGCGGTTTAGGAAGACGAAATTTGCTCACAGGGCTGTCTGCTCTTCTACTTTCGCCTACTTAACATTGTACTTACAATGGCTATAGTAAAAACGTACATTTTTTACAAAACGAAATGTGCTAAACTAATAATTTCCCAAGACACGACAGAATTAATTAGATTTTGCTTGATAGGCTATTTCTATATTTTTAGATTCGTTTTGTCTAACTTACGTTTTTGCACATATACATTAAATTTGAAATACCTGAAATGTATTCAAAATAGCTGACGTTTTACTAATATTTAACTCTTTAACGATTCGATTTTACAGCGCGTTTCGGTATAATTTTATTTATAAAATATAATACAAAGGATATTTTATATTTTCCATAGTATCGATCATTTTAAAGTAATGTAAAAAAAATCTTACTTTGGGGCTATGTGGTGATTGTCATTCGTTACTGATGTGTGTGTGAAGTGCCTGAATGCTCTTTTTCGGATGTTTGGATTTTTCAATAAATCAATTTATTGATTTCTTCACTGCACTGTTGTAAACATTTGACCATGAACATTTCTTCTGCTGTTTATCGTGCAATCATTATTTCGTATTTTTGATAGATTTGTCTGTAAACGACACCATCAAATAGTTTATTTCGTTTTGGACATAAAACTAGTTTGGATATTGATTTGTGTTTCCTTTTCCCCTTAATTACCATCTAGACCCGAATTAAAAAAGGATCGCATGTCAAAATCAATTGATACGAAGAAGAACATTTTGGCAAACAAATTATTATTCGTGCCAGGTTTTGATTTATTGGCGGCTCCTTCTGAAACCGCATATTTTACGTAGGGCTAAAAACAATGAATTCAATTTCTTGGGTTGTGATATATTAACTAACGCTTTTATTGTCCCTCATTTTCCAGTTTAAAGCAAAGTTGCATCCTATTTCATTTTTTGTCAACCACAAATATAATATTTTTCATACGATGCGGTAGTCCATTAATGACTTATCAGTTAACTTGTGGTTCTTTCATATCATTGGATATTCACTCAAAATGTTGTCAAATTTAAAAACGTGAGAACTGTGTCCCAATAGAAAAAGCAGTTTTGAGTGAAGAGTACCCCTTTTTGTAATGTAATGTTACGCCATTGACTGGTTTTAAAATGGCAGTGGTAACTGCTACAGCGTATTTTGCTGCAGATTTGAGATATAGCTAGTTGCATGATAATTAAAGCCGATAATTAATTTAGAACATGTATGTTCTAAAGTAGCCGATGAAAAATAAACGTAACAACCACTGCAGCAGCCAGAAGCGATGGAGGTAATCTTCCGTATTTAATATAATGGTGGAGCACACTGCGGTGGCTGTTTTGCAATAACCTGATGGTTACAGAAAATCAAAGGAAGGATATATTGATTTCCTAGTGGCAAGGCTTAATACTAATCCATAATACTTCAGTACATGGGGTACTTTTGTTTAAAATGTTAAGTTCGGAACGGTCCCCTTTTTTTTATTCAGATACATCAGATTTGGTCAAATAAAAACCACTATTAATCCGCTTTCTTCCCGTGAAAGCAGTTCTCTTTTGGGTAGGTAACGAAATCAGACGATTTTTTCCCACTATGTTCGATTCTCAAAGCTCCTATGTCATATCGGTAAAATATGTACATGAATATTTATTTTTGTGACGGCACCAGATACCTATTTAACGTCCATAACTTTTGAAAATGGGCTTCTTATATTCCGTGAAGAATATACAACCAAGTTGCCCTTCGCTTTGAATGAAATTTTTAAGGTGTAGGACGATAACGTGGAAGGGATCTTGAATTTCAAATTGAGATCCAGAAAACCTGCTGGGTGACGATGTTTGCCTCATTTTTTCCGCAGTCCGTAACAGCGAAAATATTTCTTAACTGTGTTTCGGAAATTCGTTTCGATAAACTTGACATTAACCAATAACCGCCCTAGAGCTGCGATGGATTTATGAGACACCAAGTTTGTCAATGGCAGAAAAGCACGGATACGCTTTAAAAAGTGATGAATTTGACACGTCGGTGATCACAATATTTAGCCATCTTCGGCAGTATACAGTTTCCCCTCGGAATTTGCTATTGCTGTTGCAGAAAATTAATTTAGCCTGAGATTCCAAATCCGCAACCACATAGATAAAACTGTTGTGTATCCGATTCGAATTCGATACTGCAAAGTGAGAAACTGTACTTTTCTCATTTTAATGTCTATTTGTTACATTAATATTTCAGCCATCCAGGGTGAAACAAACATAGACAAACGACAGAAATGTGTGTTTAAATTCATCTGTTCGAACAAAAAGGTCTGATCTCACTGTCAACGTAGATACGTACATAACTCGCGTATTTCCCGCGATGTAAATTAACATCGAGATTCAGACTCTTACCTGTTACCACTGAAAACATGTTATTGTGTTTCAGGCTACCTTCTGTAGAAAACATTCACCAGTCTGCAGACATAGCCAAGAATGCCGAGACAGTGTTAAAAATTGTAAATGTTAATTGCATGGGACGTGTCACACTTGTCTAAAACACATTGAAAACCGAGACCATACTGACCTTACTCCTGATAACAACGGGCAGAAATATCAATCTCTAAACGCAGGTGCCTACTGAAGTATAAGGCTCACGAAGTGACCAGTGCTGTGTGAATTCGTAGAAATGTATTTATATTACCCCATTAAAAATGTCATGTGTTACTTTCCACTATTCAGTCACGCTTCGTTTCATGTAACAATTTGATCATTTTGTCGAGGTGGCCCGACTGCTTTTGTCAGTTTTGCATGTTGATGTTCGGCCGGCGTTCGCGTGACGCGCTCGATTTAACTACACAGAATGAAGCAGAAGTCTTACATCCTATTTCTTTAACGAAGTGATTTAATGTCTTACAATCTCAACATAATGTATCCTTTGCTCCATCTTTTTATGGAAAAGAGAAGGAAATGTAGCCTACATATTATGACTCGCCTATTTTTTTATTTATAAAAACAACTTCATAAGTTAATTTTTGCATTTGGATTTTTTTCCTAAAACATCAAACTGTGTAGAAAGTTGTGTAACGATCACATGTAGCCTTATTTGCGTGTTAAACCGCAAAGTTTAATTCGTGGCTGGCGTACGATTACATAACACTCTGAAGTCAATAAACGCCTTCAGTTATGTTAGGTGGAAGAAAGAAATTAATGCATGAAAGGCGATATTTTAAATATTATGATTGTTGCATTAATAATTCCATTGCACCCTGTCAAAGCGTGATTTTACTTTTATTATTTTGCTACAACTTTCTCTGCAGTCTGTTTTAGGCCTAAATATTGGTCGAATACTCATTAAACGCCAAGACGCTTTCAATTCCACGTCTAAAAATAATAAAAGGGTATGCTGTATTGGCTCTCATGTTCTTCAGATCCGACGACAGGTAGGAACGGCGAAGCCCATAATCTTAGAAAAGACAAAATTACAGGTTTACAAAAGAAGCGATGTCGAGCTCATTGGAAACCGATACAACGCATGTTGTAAATCGTCCGTCTGGCTCACGGTGACTAAATGGAGCACCGTCAATCATTTTTAAGAGATTGTATCAAAATCTCTACACTGCCACTCTGAAACTTCATAATGCAGGTGCTGAGTTCTAAAACTCTGACTACTGAGAAAAGGTTACTCTCGCATTCTCTAGATGAAAAAGGGCAGAAGTGGGTCTAGAATTTATAACCTGGTCTGGGTCAGCGAGATACCAGTTTTCAATTTTTATAAAATCCTTGAGTTTCGTTTTTTATGCTGATGAAATGGCAGAACATCAATTACTTAAACCATAGATAACAATCATAATTATTGTGCCTTTTTCGAAAAGCACACCGATAATGACTTCAGTTTGAACAGTTCTCAGGTGGTCGTCGTATTTAAGTGTCCACAAGGAGGCGGTACTCATGCACATATTGTCACGCGTGGATCTGATCGATACTGAAGGAGAATTTTTAATGCAGAATAATCAATATCTTATACAGTCTGTTTTAATTCCTCTGCTTGTTCAATCTAGAATTTGATCGACAACAGCGAGTCATATTGATGTATTTGTGTAATTTATGATGACCCTTTTAAAGAGGATACAGTCATTGAGACGTAGAATATTATACAGTGATAATCATAAGTGTTGATATTATTCACTTAGATGTGCATGAAGAGAAATTGTATTAGTAGCGTTTTATCCCGCTTGAACACCATACTCTCTGTTTTTGATGTTGTATTTTCCATCGCTTAACACAATCGTGCATAAAACACTTAGCAGTTCCAGATATTAAGCTTTGTAAGAGGATCTCTCTCGGGTATATACTTACATAATTGTTTCTCTTCCTAAATGTAAAGCAACTTGTTATACTTCGTATGAAAAGAGCTATATAAATGCAAGGAATCTTTATTATCGATTCAAAACCAGTCAAAACCAGCCGTTTTAGCTAGAAGATTTGACCCATTCACACCACATATATCAGTCAGAAATAAAACTGGAAAAGGCGAATCCTTGACTGAGAAGAATAGTGCGTAAATATTAAGCTCTTGGCGTTTTTTGCTTCCAGCTTTAACAGATTTCTGCAGAAACGCTGATCTTTTCAAAGCATACTATCAACAGATGAGCTTGATTGCCAAGAAGATACGCTGTTTCCAATGTGGTTTAATAATAATTGCTTACATTTTTATATAGCGCTTTTCTGGACACTCCACTCAAAGCGCTTTACAGGTAACGGGGACTCCCCTCCACCACCACCAATGTGCAGCATCCACCTGGATGATGCGACGGCAGCCATAGTGCGCCAGAACACTCACCACACACCAGCTATCAGTGGGGAGGAGAGCAGAGTAATGAAACCAATTCATAGAGGGGGATTATAAGAAGGCCAGGATTGGTGGGGGCCAATGGGAAATTTGGCCAGGACGCCGGGGTTACACCGTGATTTCAGAACATTGTCTCAGTACATTGACTTCTTTGCTGCAGTGTCGTTTCCTGTAATTTGCAGAGCTGGAAACGTTCGAGGTGATGGGTTCTGTGCAGCTGCGTTTCTCCCGGAAAGCGTGCACCCGCACCTATGAATATGAATAGATATCATATTCCCGGTTTATTCCCGGCATTGGATACATTTCGAGATCATTCGCCCTGTTTCCATTTTAAATACTCCCCGGAGATAACGGGTCTGGACAAGATGTCTTAGATCGCAGAAGAAGATTAAACAGCAAAGCCTCTTTCTAAACGCTTCTATGTTTGTAATTGAGGCTTTGTCTCAGAGGCTCCGCTCTGTCCGGGAGTAGAAAAGTGAAAATCTCTGAGAGTTTTGACATTCTAATGTTGGCATTAAGGCATTTCGTTTTACATGTAAGACAGAAGTAATTTTAATTTAGCATTAAACATTAATTGTTGCAGGATACGTTTTTCCCCTTCAATCATTTTAATACGTTGTAAGCAAATAAAAAAATGTATATTTAAATTCACAAAATTGTATATTTATTTGTATATTTACATTTAGCCTTGTAACAGCTGAAGGTAAGGCCAGTTTTCACAACAAATTTAGTCTGTAAATTCGTTCTCTGTTCTACATTTAATACCGGTTATCCAGTACAAGCACTATAGCTTATATTATTTTGCTTATGAAGAGCTACAGGCGGTTTTTGAAAAGATGCTTCCTTTGTTTTTTTCATTTTGCGTTGACCCTGCATATTTGTGTAATTCGATTTATAATCGACTGTTTCAAGTTGGCATAGGTATTTGTTTAGGCGCAATGTTGTGTGTTCATCTATAGACTGTGGCTACCTAATGGCAACCACGGCCGTGATGAAAACTAAGACAGTGATTGGATTTAGGCAGGAAACGCCAAAAAATCCCGATTTTTAACAAAAAAATGTCATCTTTAAATATCGCGGTTGTTTTCGCGTTTCGTTGTGATTAGTATCGGTGTGCGGGCTGCGTGTGCGTGCGAGCGGGCTCTCTAATTTAACAATGCTCCTGCGGCCACTGTCCATCTCCAACGGGCTGCAGGAGAAACAGAGGGATTGATGACTTCTAACCCCCACGGGTCAGTGCTCGGCCCCTCCCCCAGAGCACCATCACAACAGGCAGCAGAATTTCACACGACGGGTTAAACCGTAGGCTCGCTGCGTCAGTCGGCGTTATTTTGAAAATCGCACTTTATGAACAGACCGGACACCCCGGTTTGTGGTGCAGCACTGATTACACTCCTGTATACTGTATGTCACCGCTTTCCAGAAACAGACCATAGCGTGCAGAAAATATTCTGATTCCCATGTTTTGTTAAATCCGCTGTAACAACGCATCATTCTGTTGTGTAATTATATTTCATTTTTTCTCAAATTGTAGGACGGATTATTTTTGGGTTTTTTTTAGAATCACGTGCCGCAATTATATCCCACATTAATCGTCCTCTGACAATTTCGAACCGATTTCCTGCCACTGAGGGCACCCAATCCATCGACTTTTATTTCTGAATTCACGTATTCCGAGAAGCTTTACAAGAAGGATTAAACTATGTATACTTCTGTAGTGGGCAAAAAAAAAAATCTGTAATAAAACTGTTATGTAACATATTTCAATTTCATGCCCGTGTTTGCGTTCGGAGTCGATTTTTCTGTCTTACTCACACGAATAAGCATACCTGAGTCGACTTATAATGATGTGCTACCTTAAAAGGAAAATTCCTACTATTTATTTAAAAGAAGGAAATACACCCTCCCCTTCAGAAAAAAAAAACGTTAAGGTTTGGAATGTGGAAGGGCAAGGTTTAATTGTTTAAACGGCCTCTCCAGGACTGCCTAACTAAATGACCATCTACATTCAAATTGGTAAAAACTGGTTGGGGGGTGGAGGGGGTTGGTGCTGTCATTTAATACTGTCCGGAGGGAAGGAGGTGGGAGTCATCTCCTCCTCAGCTAGGTGGTCTCCGCCCGTGATTGGTCACTTCCAGATTTTGGATCCTTTCACTTTGGAATGTGTAATTTATCAGGGAAGAGATTGTAATTGAGAATCACGTGGAGCTGGAC